CATTTCGCTCGGGCGAGCTGCAGCGGGCGCATATGCAAACCGACTGGCACCGCTACAACCTCAAGCGCAGAGTCGCCTCCCTACCTCCACTCTCTTCTGAGGTTTTCACCGAAAAGGTTCTCGCGAACAAGGCCTCCGCCGCCGCTTCCGCCGCCAGGGCGTCCTTCGAGAAATCTTGCGCCGCTTGCCAGAAGACATACTTCAGCGAAAATGCGTACGCCAACCACCTGAACAGCCAGAAGCACCGCACAAACCTTATGAAGGCATCGAGGGGTGGGCAGAACGACGACGCTGTGTCTGTGAATGGCTCTGTTATGAGCTCAGCGTTCTCTTTGGGCGAGTCTATGGCAGAGTCCGAGGCTACGACTATCGGCGATAGGGACGTCGCAGACGTTACATCTGACCTGAAGAGCGCCAACTTGGAGGATGGTGCTACAGAGGAGGCCTCGACCGAGGACGACCGAAGCTCAGTTGCCACATCTAAGGTCATCACCGACCCTCTGCAAGATTGCTTGTTCTGCAACTACAAATCGCCAACGATGGCATTGAACATTCACCACATGGGTCGCTATCACGGCATGTTCATCCCAGAGAAGGATTTCTTGTCGGACCAAGAGGGCCTCCTGAAATATCTTCATAGCAAGATCCATGAGCAACACGCCTGTTTGAAGTGCCACAAGGCAGTGCACACAGCGTCTGGTATCCAGACACATATGCGTGACCGCGGTCACTGCATGATCGCTTTCGAGGAGGACGAGGAGCTCGTGGAGATCGGCGAGTTCTACGACTTCAGCAGCACCTACGATGATCAGGCCCAGTTTGATGAGATGCAAGACGAAGCCGAGGCGTCAGATGACTCCTCATCGACAACAGGAGGTGGAGTCAAGCTCGGAGCGAGGCGCGAGGCCAAGACAACCACAGAAAACGACGAGGATATGTCCAGCGGCGAGGGTGACGAGGGCTGGGAGACAGACAGCACCGTCTCGAGTGTGCCAACAGATGAGATCGGTGCCGTACCTATCGACCGCTCCCACCGACACAAGGGCCTGCACAAGTCGAGACACCACAACCACGCCGACCCCCGCCCTCACCGGGCTGCAGATGGTTTCCACTCCCATGCACACGCTACACCCACCGCCGTCTACCACGACGAATACGAGCTGCACCTCCCGTCTGGTCGAACAGCAGGCCACAGGTCACTCAACAAGTACTACAGGCAGAACCTGCGCAACTATCCTGGCGTGGCCGAGCGTATGGAGAATGCTCAGCGTCGCCTTACCGCCCCCGAGAACGACGAAGACGGCGACGCCGAAATGGCAGATGGTGAGGAGCGCGGTCGCGGTGGCCGCCAGGTCGTTACCCGTGCCAATGGTGGTCTGGGCATGATCGGTGTGAGCGACGAGAAGAAGAAGGAGGTTGCTAAGCTCGAGAAGAAGCAGCAGAAACAGGCCGATCGCGCGAGGAATAGGTATCAGGCTGGTAACGAGAAGAGGGGCAACAACCAGAAGCACTTCCGTGATCCGCTCCTGCAGTAGTAGTCTGTGGTGTGTTTGGGTATGGTTCAAGAGCATGTTCGGCGTTTGTGGCATGTGTCGTTAGACATTGGAGGGTAGATATGCATCAATGAGATATGATATCACATCACCAATCCTCCCATTACATATACGTTGATCCGGCCTCGTGTCAATAGGACTTTGTGATGTGAAGCCAGAAGTGCGATGTCCTGCTCACCCTCCCATACTGAGCACCACGTGATGGTCTTTGAGCCTTTAGTCCGTCAATCACTTTACAGTCATCATGGTGGATGAAACGACATGTTGGCGTAGTTACGTAACCGTAGAGTATTAAGTAGTCGTTCTGTTATACAGGAACGGAGATTATGGTACATGGTTCGAAGAGAGTTTATAGTGGCAGTGCCACTCCAGAAGTCAGAACTTTGCAGCCCTCGAGCCACCAGTCAAAGAGCTTTGAAAACAAACAGAAGTCGTCAACCGTTATGGGAAAGAGGAAACAGAGTGACAAGTGGTCACGGGGGCTGACAAAGTCGTTCTCGATGCAATACCGGAACGGCCGCTGCTGAACCTCGCGACGTTACACTTTGGAGTGCAAACAGGGAAGTTCAATGGGTAATGCCGGGCCTGGTCGCTTTCAAGTAGGCCAAGCCACGCTGGGTGGCGTACGTGGTCGTGCGCCGAAATCATCGTTGATAATTGGGTACCGTGCCTGTCTTGGTACTACTGGAAGAGCTGGTAAGGGCCGATCCACGAGACTCATAGCAGATGCAGTAGGGTGCATTGGTCTTGAGAAACTGCGAACGTCATACACAATACCATTGGTACCCAGCAATGATGTTGAAGGTAGTTTTCGAGGTCTGTTGTTGAGGGGCGACTGCGACATGCCCTTGACTTTCACTCGAGACTTTGAAACGTGCTTCCAAAACACTCGTAGTGAGGGCAGGTTCTGGGCGACTGCTGCGAGACTCATACCTAGCGCACCCATGATCATCATCTCGCCGACTGCTTTTGGCGTATAGGTGCCTGAGCTGATGACTTTTAGGGAGTGCATGCGGATGAAGCCCAGCGCAACAGCAACGCCACCGATGGCGAACATGCAACAGATGTGCATCTTGCGACGAAGAGGTACCTGGACAGAATAGAAGATGGGTATGGGCAACACCAAGACGTAAAGGTTCAGCAAGGAGTTCTGGGTCGGAGGTCAGTCTAGTCGTGTAGTGAAACTGACGCTCTGAACATACCAATGCTGCTGGAGCAAAGATAGCGAAACCTGAGTCCATACACTGCGCAGTCAGACGTTCCATCGGTCTGAAGTTTGCAGTGATTGGCTTGCACCGGAAGACGATAACCAGGACGTTGAAGATGAGCAGCATTACATCTGAACCAAGTCCCAGACCGATCCAGAAACGGAAGTTTGACTGCGCTGAGAATGACCAGTAAAAACTCAAGAATGCAGCTCGGATAATGAAGTGGAGCATGGCATCATAGATGATCGAAGTCACGAAGAACCACTGAAAAGGTTAGCTGTCATCGCAACGAGGGTTTCTAGAAAACGTACTGTGAGAACCTCCCCACTAGGATTGAGGTAATTGCAACTGTTTGGTTCTGGTCCACTGCATCGTCAGACCTATTCTGTGTTTGGGCCTTGGTCATTACACACCCAGCGCAGCCCATCGAGAAGACTTGTTGCCAGAGACCGAGGGCTCCAAGAAGGAATACCTGGAAATCAAGTGAGTCTAGAGGATTTCAGGATATGGACTGATCGAACTATTACCCCAACGACCAAAGACATGAAATCGTCAGCTTTCCACCTGCGTCTGACGCTTCTGCAACAGTGGATCCTGAGGATGCAGGATGCGATGGCGACGAGAAAGCTGCTCCATGTAACGATGTACGTAATGACCTGAAAGACTCTCGACATTGTAGGTATTGTTCAACAGCTCGAAGCACACAGTGCGAAGCAGAGTTTTGCGGAGGTGCTATCGTAGCGACATAGCTATCCAATCGAGGTCACATCGTGCTGGCCTGTGACGGCAGCAAACGGACAATATTGGTGATAGAGGATGTGACTAAAACGAACCAAAAGCCCTGGGAGTTGGCGGCGTGGTTGCAAGACACCTCACTGCGAACGCAACCTGGACAAAGGCGACTCCTGCCATGGGCGGAAGGACGCTATGACAACGCCTTTGTTGTTTGCAAATAGACTTGCATCGAGTGCAATGAGCTGCACGAGCATGACGGCGCTGACGGCCCGTTCGTGACGCCAAATACAAATTTCAGGCGACCCAATATTGAGGAGTGCTGTGCAGATGTGTCCTCACTTTTCCTGTTACGATGGTGGGTGTGTGGAGTAACGCACGAGGCGATCTCTGTGGTGAGAGACTGGATTGGAGAACTGCGGACCCGTAACTCGCAGCGACTGCTTTCAATGCGTCGCAATTTCCCTCAAATCTGGGTCATGACTACGACCAACCTTTATAGCATCCTAGGTTACACCACACCTTGACGCCTCCAGCCCTGTGTGCGTTGAAGTCTGTGTCGCCAATGGCAAGCTTCAGTAAGACACCCCATCGAAATCCCCACAGTTCACGACGTCACCACTGCCTTTGCGATGCTTCGAACATGTCACTATCGCACTGTTCACTCCTGTGTGCGACAAATAGGTTATATTTATGCTAAAATAAACTTCTTTCATCAACAGTACTTTCTCCAATATAGTCCAGAGGCTAGGATATTCCGCTTTCAACCGATCATTCGATTGAAGCACCGGAAAGACCCGGGTTCGATTCCCGGTATTGGAATCGATCTTTTTTTGCAGTCCAAGGTCCCTCGTGGTGTTTTCGATGATGGCTGGTGTGTTGCAGGAGCGATGCGAAAACCAACACACCTGCATACCCCACCAAGACTGCCCTCTTGTAGTGCAATCTAGTTTTTGCAATTCGTGGCATTGTTTCTCAGCCTGGCGTATTAGGTAGGTATCTTAGACATGCAGTGGGTGGGACTCGTCGCTCTGGAGCCGTGAAGTGCATCTGCAGATGAGCACTGTCTGTCCTATGTCTCCGTATAATTATCACGCAATGAAAGGCACTGTGTATAATGATCTTAATGCTCCTTTCAAGGTATACTGTTGCAGTGCTCAAGAAATCAAGTTTACTAACCAAACTCAAGAGGTGCGCAGCAAAGACTAACCCAAGATGCCAACCTCCAAGCTGAGTGAATTGACATACAAACTAAAAGGTCCATTGAAGTCGCTGTGCTATAGACTTGACAAAGGACGTATTTGAGTTCTGCAAGTCAACTCTCGCTTGAGGTTTTCCATGACCCCGCAGTGGATCAGCGCCTCGCATGCAGCCCTCAACAGCTTCAACTCGAAACCGAAGCGTCTGACTCCATATCGCAATGAGCCCATCTCTCATGCTCTATTGAGATGAGAATAAATCCGGATATAAATTATTTGTTCCAGCGTTCCACCAATCAGAGCAACAAGGCAAAGTGTCAGAGTGGTTAATGAGTATGACTCGAACGACTCCGTCTAATAGATATCATATGCCTTCGGGCGCGCAGGTTCGAATCCTGCCTTTGTCGCAAGGCTTCATTTTTGCTTCTATCTTTGCCCGTCGAGGCACCTAGAGTGAGCGTGAAAGAGGTGTCTATGCGTGAGTCGAGTTCAGACTGACGGGCCTTCGGAAGACCGAAATCGTTCCGAGAGTCATTTTTTGTACTAACCAGAATTGAAGCCTCTGGCAATTGCCAACTCTTCCTGGCCCGTTCCTAATGCACTCCTAGAGGGTACTGTCGATTGTAGTTGCTGTCGAACGGCACTTGTCAGATGATATCCACCGCTGCAGGGGCATTTTTGACGATCCTGAACATGGAAATCACTTCACAGGGCATGTACCAAACTTATCAAGGCGTGACTTCAGACACTCTTTGCAAGGTAGATTTCGGTGATGTTGGCCCAGCGTCAGCCATGTGACAACGCGCAAGCGCGACGCGTCCGATTTCCCCACCACAACTCAGACCTTCCCACAACAAACATGTCGCACAACACACCATCGCCATGAGCACGGCCGCAGTGCCTGCACCACAACGCAGAACTCCTTCCAGTCTTATTAGCAACTATGCGCCATCAGCGGCACTCGAGGCGGTAGGCACCCGTCCGCGACGTACTCAACGCAGACCTACCAAACCCGCCCCATACGAGTTGGCAAACCACTCAAAGGCATTCATCGAAGGGCTTCAGTGTATGTTAGTTAGTGCAAAGCGAGACCGGGGTTACTGATCCTTCACAGTCGGCAATGCGTACGAATTCCTTCATAGCTTGCTGGCAGCAGGCACCTCAATATCTACACCCGCCCAGCCATACGTTGGCTACCTTCCTCCCCCTTCGCAAATCGCACTCGCCGCATCCCTCGTTCCACATAAATTCAAGTCACCTTCGAGAGAGACCAGCAGAGGCTCCGACGCAGCATTCCGCTATCTGCAATGCCTTCTGTCTACAATAGAAGGCCCAACGTATCCGTACATACGGCAGGCTTTCAATTTTCCCACCGAACGCACGCGGCGACGTCCTCGCGGGCACAGGAACGCGACAAGAAGTCTGTCTCCTGACGAAGACGACGATATAGACCATCTCTACTGTGAAGCAGCCAACGACAAGAGCCTTTGGTATAGAGCTGACGATTTTTGGCACGTTGTTGGCTGGGCGTTTAATTGCTCTGCGGCATACAAGAAGCGGTGGGAGAGATGGAAGTTGTGGCTGTCAGTCATGCTCGACTTCCTGGAAGCGGACTGGGATGTTTGCATCAAGCAAAGCCAGCACGATGAAGAAGGGCAAGAAGCCATCCTACAACAGAGCCTGATCTGGCAGTATGTTGCGGGTGAGGGGCAGGCGATAACGCGAACGACAAGACGACGCATAGCCAAGGCAATCTTTGCGATCGCATCACCCGAATCCTTGAAGGACTACCCTGAAATCTGGGAAAATGAGGCTAAGGAACCCAAAGAGCCGCCGAACAAGAAGCAGAAGCTTGGGAATGTCGATTTTGAGACAGGTGAAGTGGCAGACTACGACAGCGACGAGGAGACGAAAGACACTCCGGCGCCGACACGAGTGACACGAGCGATCGAGCGCAAATTCGAAGTTACACCTCCACCCGATCTGCGTGACACCGAAAATGGTAGTTTGGATCTGCACGATGCTATAGAGCGACTAGGCGGTAGCGACGCAATAGCATTGCGGCAGCGTCTGCTAGCCTTGGTAAGTGCAGCGACACACTGCGCCTATTTCATACTAACGCTGTGTAGATAGCACAAGTCGCAGATAAACTTCCCGACCAGTTCACGACGCTTAGTGATTGGTTCGACAACGTTGTGGAAGACTTTCGATATTTGCCAACAATGCTGTTTAACGTCTTTCTTACCACGCTGTTGGTGCCTGGATCAATGAAATACAAGTGGCTTGCGAACCTGTTGATACCGTTTGCCAGCGGTACATTGCCCGACTACTTTCGCTACGAACCAACGCAGGAGCATTTCGAGTCCATCTTGTTGCCGCTGAAGGGCAGCCAGAGCTTTGCAGCCAACGCCAAGGTCTCCTTGATCCTCGAGCAACTATTCGTGCTCATGATGGCAGACGATCAGCTCGAGTCGACCGCCGCGCTAAGAGAGGCTATGAAGACCGGCGTGCAAGCAAGACACAATGCACATGGTTCAGGAAGAGGGAAGAGAGGCAATGCTGGTGAAGAAAAGCAAGCACGAGAACTTATGGAAGCTAGCTCAAACCGACTTTTGGGCATGTTGGAAATGCTCGAGATCATGGCAGGCAAGCCGCCACAGAAGAAGGTTGATCGCAAGAACAGTGTGTTTGCATCATTTGACTCTGGATCTCCGCTCTCATCGGCGCCAAGTGACATGGAGGAGGATGGGAACTAGAAACTTCTGCACTCTGGCTGGCGATGTGGCATCAATTAGCATCCTATCGTGGGAGGCATGGTTAGGTAGCTCATTTTGACACCCTGTGCTCGCTAGCACCCTGCCACTATCCTTCGGATAGACCCATTGCAAGCACCCCGCTCTACACCCCTTCTTCATCGCCCTTCCCCTTGCCCCAAATGCCCTCTTTCTTCTCCGCGATCCATTCACACTCATCCGCCCGTCCATCAAGCTCTTCCCAACCATTACTCTCCATCTCTTCCAGCCTCTCGTTCTTCTGTCTCAGCCACTGCCATTGCAGTACCATCTGGCTCGCTCTGATCACCAACGTCTTCTCGCTCCAGCTGGCCACCTGCTCGTCCGCCAACAGCAGATAGTCATCAAGGGGTGTGACATAGTGTTTCATCCTCTCCCTTACACCATACGTCGTATACCCGCCAGCCGGTGCAGCAATAAGCGTTGGCCATATATTCTGCATACTTCTCGTCCTCTTGTACTCTTCCTCTTCCGGCGTACCGTCCTGAGCTTTCATCGGATTCTTAATAACTCCAACCAAACCCCTTGACTCAGACACGTCAGGAACAGCTGGCGGCACAGAAGAAACACTCAAATCCCTCTTCCCCACCGGCCCCTCGCCCAACATCCACTCCCTAAGCATATCGTACCTCAGCACCAAGCGAATCGCAAGCTGCTTCTTACGCTCATACAGCCTTCCCATCGCCAGCCTGTTTTCAGTAATCTGTTCAGGTAACAGCGTCCGTGCGACCAGAAATATCAACTCCTCGACCAGGATGCGGCGAACTTGCGTATCAAGACCGCCGGAGGGCCCAAACGCTGTCATCAGGATAGACGGCCAGTTTGTCGATGCAGATACCGGACGGAGCAAAGTTTCCTTGACGACGGTGGTGGATGCGTGCAGAGTGCCCCATGAAAGAATTGCGTCGAGCGAGGCTTCGAGGGTGCCGGTGAACGGGTTTGGCACTGTTGGGGTGAGGAAGTAGTGCGGTGGTAGCTGGGTTGCTTTTGAAGCCTCGGTAGGTGGCGCTTTAGAGGCGATGGAGGTAGTGCGCACGCCGCGTGTGCCGGAGCGCCGCGTTGGTGGATGATGTGGTGCGGGTGAGGGACGTGGTGTTGGGTGGCCGTCATCTGACATGGTGCTGTAGGCGCGGGAGTTACGGCGAGAGAGGGCGCTCATTGTGTGTAATTCTGGTTAAGGTTTTTAAACAGCCTGAGCAAGTTGTTTTGAGCCCCAAGTTGAAGTGAGTCAGAAGATGAGAGGTGAAAGTGAATGCAGATTGCGTCAATGCTTCGTAAAGTAAATGACCTTGCGATTGATCTGACGTCAAAGACTGCCATGCTGGACTTTCACCTGTGTGATATGACCCTCGGTAGATCTTGCTCGTCATTTCACTGTGCTGGGATGGGTTGCAGTAAGTCCAAATCTCATGTGTGCGCCTGAGCTAATGTTTTACCGGTCTGCGCTCACTTGTCAGATCCACCTCTCTTGTGACGGTGATACCAGACTCAGGCGTCTGAGCTGCCTGTCTAGCTCCTGCCTGCTTCCACAATTCTTCCTCAGACTCAGTACCTCTCACGTTGTGCTCTAGCCTGGTAATGCTACCTCTCGATACCCGGTTCTTGGAAGATTTGAGACTCCACATCTTATAGCTTCTAGACCGCGAGGAGTCCGGACCTGAGCCAGTCCAGCTGCCTCCGGTGACTTTGTTCCAGAGCGCCTTCAGTGAAGGCAGATTGACCGCAATGATGGCAAGCTGGATCTCAACCGCGGCCACTATAACCATTTTGCCAAGTACGTAGGAGGTATCCGGCGACGAGTTGAGCTCGAAAAGAGGTATGAGACGAAAGCACGCTACCAAGACAGCGGAAGCACCAGAACCAATGACTGAGAGAACGGCGATTTTGCGGCGGGTGGACATTTGGAGATTGAGGACCGTTGATATGGGCAACACCAGGATGTAGATGTCTTCGAGGATGTTCTGTGATTTGAGTCAATTTAAAGCGTGGGTATATACAGTGACACGTACCAGAATGGAGGGTACGATAAGTAGCACAAGTTTTGGCAGGCATTTTGCGTCCGGGTGAGTACCAGGATGAAGGACCTCATCGAAAGGTATGCATTGTAGACATGCAATTAGGCTGGAATGTTCAGTATGGGATAAACTCATGTTTCTGTACCACTCACATGTTGATTATGAAGATGGCAACGTTCGTAGCCATGCCAATGTAGACCAAGCTCCGGAACGTAACATCTGGAGACAGGCGCAGGTAGAAGAGCAGAAATGCAAACTTGATGACCCAATGAACGAAGTAGTAGTATACTTCTTCAACAAACAGAACTTTCAGGATCTGGAGTTGTTGTAGCCCGCTAATGGCGTTCATGTGCCTTTGCGCGGTCGTTAGTCGAGGTTAGGGGTAATGTCGGGGTCTGTTCTACTCACAGCCCACACCCTGCTTGTAGGAACAAGTGCAGGACTACTTGCTGTCCGCAGCTCACTGCCTGTTAATCGTTAGAAAAAGCCCTCATTGCTATCTTGTATACTTACACCAACGAAGAGGGCAACATTATCATCAGAGCCCCATGCTTGCATAAGGAAGTGCCGACAGTAAACTCGAAGAAAAACGGTAGACAA